TTGTGGTTGTGTGTGCACGTCCTGCCCTCCATGGACCTGGTGGTGCCACTGCTGTATTTACAATCACCTCGTCAACGTGTATGGGTTCTTGATATTAACACTCATTGTGTGAAACTGAGCCAATAACATTATTGCTTTCTTTCTTTGCTTTATGGTGCCCCCATACACTGCTGCTGGGAGGGAGTGGACAGACATATTGTAGTAGTGGTGGTGGTGGTGGGTGGCACCTCTGTGTGATTTGGCCACATATTGGGGCATTTTCTTTTTAGCTCGAGACTCAAATCTCGGGTGTAATCTCTTTTAAACATGAACGTTAAGATCTTTTTTTTTGCTTTGCTTAATAATGGTTTAAGGATAATGACGGCAGTATTCATTGTTTTTTATTTGTGTTTTTCAGCTGTTAGTGTGGAATGTGTGTGCGGAATGTTAATACCGTCTTTCCTCTTAAGGGGGGAGTGCTGTGAGGTAAGCTGAGTGGGTTTGTTCTTTTTGGTGCCTTATTATACTGCACTTCTCTCTGTTATTAAGCATCAGTACCTATGGGGTACTGTTGTGTGTGGATTCACTGATTGGGGTTTGTTAATAATGTTCTTTTTAAACATGAATGGTGTATTTGGCAGTTTAAAGAGAGATGTTCCTATGAGGTACAATGGGTGTGATAAGGCTTTGTGGTGTTATATCTGTGTTTTTACCTTTTGCTCTTTGTGTTTCCTATTCCTTGGTTTATGATGGATTAGTGTAGTATAATAATAATAGCAGTGATGCCCTGTATGCTATTTGTGTGTGTCTGCGTTGTTGGCTCTAATAAAGCCACACTTGTGCAGCAGACATAGCAGGGATAAGGGGTTGTTGTGGTCCCATGTGTGTACGCACATACTCGATGTTGGTAACGAAGGGAAGAGGGACGGCTGCCAGTCTACAGTGTAAGGTGTACTGTACATGATGTGTTTATCCCTTCACCCTAATGAAGTGAATGCTTGCCATTACTGTGAAATGGAAGGGGATTAGTGTTGAGTGAATATATATAGAATCCTAATTGGTGTTGTATTTGGTGTTCCCAGGTGCCAGTATTTAGTATTGTTGAGGGAATTCAGGATATATCTTCGTTTTTCTTATTGAAAATTTTCTTTCCTCTCAACCCAGTAGTAATTGTATAGCATCATCATTGGATCCAGATGTGTTTCGTTTTTGAACAAATGAGTTCCAATAAGATTATGGGGGTAGTTCCTGATGAGATTTATCGTTAGCCGCGATAGCTCAGTTGGGAGAGCGTCAGACTGAAGATCTGAAGGTCCCTGGTTCGATCCCGGGTCGCGGCATTCCTTTTTGTTTTTTTTCTTTGGTGGGATCGTTCTGTCCATCGATATGAGATAAAGGTGTGATGTTTCCCCGAAATATAGGAAACTATCGAGCGGAGCAGTGTTAGCTCAACAGTGGTGTTTGTGTACAGTTTAATGAGAAGTATACTGTATGATTTATGCACATATGTCTTTTTTTTAAGCCGAATGAGAATAATCTTTGCTTAGCAGGGGAGGTTCCTGTAAAGGGATTTTTGCAAACCCTGCCAGAGCAAAGCGGTCAAAAGAAGAGACTATCTAGCATTGAAATGCCCAAGAAGGAACTGACAAGATAAGAACAAAAGACTCCATACATTACACAAATATATCATAATACGTATATCAAACCATTCGTGTACGCTGCGGAAATTGGTACAGTGTCATGCAACGAAACAATTCTGCAGCTATTGATCTATTCTGCTCTTTTTCCATGCTGTGTAGAGTTAGCGGTATCTGGAGTATCCTTTAAGTATTTATCTTTTACTAAATAATTATCTCATTTTCTTATGGTCGTGGATTGGAACTACACTATACCCTAACTCTCTCATACAGGTAACCCCATGTTAACCACCTCCACTAACATCAGAGAATTCCTCGTTCTGAGTTGTGACTGGCATCAATTATTTAGGACCTGATGGATTCAGAGGTAAACGTAGTTGATTAGAGTACCCCCAACAGAATAAATAAGACTTCAATGAGGTCAAAGGAAAAAAAAAAAATGCACAAAACGAAACTTTTCAACAGGTTGTGGTTAATGAGAGTTCTAGTGGTGACTTATCGTAGACTACTTAGTATTGTATGCAAAAGGTTATAAATGAAATTGTGAAAGAAATCTGAATTGAGAAATGAATATAAAAAAAAAAAATGAGGAACAAATAAACAATGGGATCTCTTTCTATTCACTTATTTTTAGAATAATGGATCTACTCTAGAGTCAAATGATGATAGTCATACTTCTGAAGTAAAACCCAGAAATCAGAAAGATGAGAAGATAAAAAAAAAACATAATATTTCTCAGTTTATTAGCACTATCACTCTGTGAATTACAAACACTCATCTTTGCTGCCAAAGTGGAAGATAACTGCCATAGAGGGTACATAACAATTACCATCACGATCATAATACACAGCCTTGGAGGCACCTTTAACTGCACCCAGAACCCTCTCTACATGAGCCAGGTCTCTACTACAGTATTAGCAACAACAATAACAACATTAGCTTAATGTGGTATTCTGTTACTACTACTAGCACTGATTTCTCTCTTTCCTTGTTATTGATATAATGTATAATCGAATAAAACGATAACTATTTTGTATGCAAAAATTTAATAAACGAGAGAACACACAAAAAAAAAAAAAAAAACTCTAATGTCGTATACTATATATATTGAACACTATTATTAACGATAATTATCACCATGGACAAGTTAAAATCTGTTACTCTTTTCTGCACATCATATCTCTAGTACAGAAATAGATATTTATAAAAATCACCATTTTAATGAATAAGTTTATGTTTCTTTTCTTCTTATTTTACGTATCATTTAAAAGAGCTGACACGAATAATACAGCTACACAATCACTATGCGCACAACTCTATTGTTAACCTTGCTACTGATACTCTCCTGCATCTGTACATGTGCAGCAGCAGAGAGGATGCCACTGCCGGTGCCACGTGTGGGTGGATACGCTACAGAGGCACAGGGACAAGGGAAGAGAGAAGGCAGCGAACAGTGGAATAACGGTCAATTCACTACCACCACACCATCCCTCAGTATGAGTGAGTCCATGAGTGCCTCTGCCACTCTTCCTCTCCCCGACACCACTACTGTTGCCCCATCATCACCAGCTGATCAACAGACTACAGGAACAGGAGATCAACAGGCCGCCCCTACTGATGAGTCGACCACGACGAGCACCGCAGCACCGAAGAAGAAGAAGAAGGACGGCGGCCGCGGCCCTGAGTGGCTGCACGGCCCGCTGGTGCTGCTCGCCGCCCTCACCGCCGCAGTGCTGTGCTGAGTCCCGCCCCCTCTGCCAGTGCGGCACTGTAATGATATTCCCCTCTTTTTGCTGGCGACGGCACCCACCACATCACATCCCTCCACTTTGCTACTCTGTGTGTTTATCTGATTGTTGTGGTTGTGTGTGCACGTCCTGCCCTCCATGGACCTGGTGGTGCCACTGCTGTATTTACAATCACCTCGTCAAGGTGGATGGGTTCTTGATATTAACACTCATTGTGTGAAACTGAGCCAATAACATTATTGCTTTCTTTCTTTGCTTTATGGTGCCCCCATACACTGCTGCTGGGAGGGAGTGGACAGACATATTGTAGTTGTGGTGGTGGTGGTGGGTGGCACCTCTGTGTGATTTGGCCTCATCTTGGGGCAGTTTCTTTTTTTAGCTCGAGACTCAAATCTCGGGTGTAATCTCTTTTTAAACATGAACGTTGGGAAGGTTCTTCTTTGCATAATAATAGTTTAAGGATAATGACGGCAGTATTCATTGTTTTTTATTTGTGTTTTTCAGCTGTTAGTGTGGAATGTGTGTGCGGAATGTTAATACCGTCTTTCCTCTTAAGGAAGGAGTGCTGTGAGGTAAGCTGAGTGGGTTTATTCTTTTTGGTGCCTTATTATACTGCACTTCTCTCTGTTATTAAGCATCGGTACCTATGGGGTACTGTTGTGCGTGGATTCACTGATTGGGGTTTGTTAATAATGGTCTTTTTTGTAAACATGAATGATGTATTTGGCAGTTCAAAGAGATATGTTCCTATGAGGTACAATGGGTGTGATAAGGCTTTATGGTGTTATATCTCTGTGTTTACCTTTTGCTCTTTGTGTTTCCCATTCCTTAGTTTATGATGGACTAGTGTAGTATAATAATAATAACAGTGATGCCCTGTATGCTATTTGTGTGTGTCTGTGTTGTTGGCTCTAATAGAGCCACACTTGTGCAGCAGACATGGCAGGGATAAGGGGTTGTTCTGGTCCCATGTGTGTACGCACATACTCGATGTTGGTAAGGAAGGGAAGAGGGACAGCTGCCAGTCTACAGTGTAAGGTGTACTGTACATGATGTGTTTATCCCTTTACTCTAATGAAGTGAATGCTTGCCATTACTGTGAAATGGAAGGGGATTAGTGTTGAGTGAATATATATAGAATCCTAATTGGTGTTGTTGATGTATGGCCCTAGTAGTAGTGTACTCATCAATAGCCCAACCAGTCACAGTACTTTGGATAGCAACTGTAATGGTAACATGGTGTATCTCTCTCTCTCTGTCAGTGGGTAGTTAATGGATTTTATTGTGGATTCTTATTTTGTTACTGTTAGTTATATCTCAGTGATTGACAATGGTAACTGTGCTATATTGTGTGGCTGATAATGATGAGGATGTACTTCGTTGTGGTTTTCTTTGTGTTTGGCATTTGTCTTTGTGTTTTTGTTTGTATATCTTCATCCTTTCTGATGATGAAAGTGTTTTATAGTTTGTTGTTTTTCTTTGGAAATACACACTCCATGGTGTTTTTTTACTGCCATCAGATATTATTGTAATTGTTCTCCATGTACAGTCTAATACCTTGTTTCTGAGGAGTATTTCTTATTTCTTATTATTTAAGATGTCTTTTAACTATATCTAGCACAGAAGATCATGAGTTGATAGTGATTGACTGACCTGTTGATATTGTTGAGTTCTTAATAATTTATTCGTTTTCTATTTGTTTATTTACACCTTTTTATTCTCTACATCCACTCGCAATGTAAGTGATGGGTTTTCATTATTTGTTTTTTCCTCACTGTATTTTACGTAAAGGATACATGTGTATTTTAAATAATCATCTCTCTTTTCCATTCCTATTCTCCTCTTTATTCTCTTCTTTTATGTTCTTTGGTGATATTGTTAGATTGTAAGTTTAGCTGGATGAGCAGCAAGACGAAGAGTAAGAGTAATATTCCCGCCAAGCAGCGGGTGCAGGACAACACAGATGCGAATCCCCCACAACCCACAAAAGAAATAACTACTACTAATACCAATACTAATACTAATACTATTACTAGTATGAACAGTAGTTCGACTGTGAAGAGTATATCCACAGCAGCAGCAGCAGGGAGGAGTACGTTGGGTTGTTGTGGGGCTCTTCTTGTGATTGGCACTTATCACTCCGTGATGGCGGGTCTTGTCTTTCGCCGTGATCGCCTCGCGCTGCTCTTTTCCATCAAACACCACGATGGCTGCATTAACACAATTGCGGTGGGGGATAAATACATCGCCTCTGCGGGTACAGACGAGCGTGTGTTTCTCTTCACCAACAAGAATCATCAATCCCACCTTACACCTGCAGAGCGGGCCAAACTACGTGCTGCTGCTGTTGTTAATACTGGCGATGGGAAAGATCGTAGCGGTGTGTGTATGCGTGTGCGGCCGGCGGATCTTGGTAGTATTGCCCCACCGAGTGAAGTGCGGTGTTTGCTGCTCACGACGAATGGGCAGCAGTTGTTGTGTGGATGTACGGACGGTCAACTGATTGTGTACCGCACACGTGATTGGAGTGTGACGCTGGCCATCCCACTGCATGAGAAGTGTGTAAATGCCATTGCCGTACACCCAGGCAACAGCCAACAGAATAATAATAATAACAATAATAAGAATAATAATAATAATAATAACAATAATAAGAATAATAAGAATAATAATAGCAGCAGTAGTGGAGTGTTGGCTGTTACGGTTGGTTCGGATCGGCATGTGGCGGTTGTGGATCTCGCGCGTGGGCGGCTGCTCAGTAAATGGCGGTACAACACCCACACAAATAATACAGTTAATAATAATAATAATAATAATAATAATGAGAAGAGTGAGGAAGAAGAAGAGGAAAAGCGAACAGTGAAGCGAATGCGGTTGGAAGTGCGGGATGAGCCCCACGCGGTGCACTTCTCCCCCAGCGGGTGTTATTTTGCAATTCTCGCCCATCACTCCTTCACGGTGTACGAGACGGCCACCACCCGCCTGCTCACATTCTATCAGGAGGCATCCACACAGCAGGAACTGCAGCCACACAAACAACTGCACACATTTGCATTCGTAAAGGATGAGACGATTGTGTTTGGAAATGAATCCGGTCAATTACTCTGCGCCATTGGGCCGTGGAAGAGAGAAGACACACAACCACAGCCATGCACACTACAACCCGTCGTTATTCACATTCCCACATCATCATCATCATCATCATCATCATCAACAACAACAACAACTTCAGAAAAAGGCGGTGAGTCTAAAAAGCCAGAGAGACATCCCACACATCACACAACACGTGTGAAGGGCCTGCGGTGTGTGGAGGACACATTGTTCTCAATAGATGCCGCTGGTGCTGTGATTGCCTGGCGCATGAAAGGAGGAGTGGAGTCGACGTTGACACTCACATACATCTGCAGTGCCAACTGCCAGGGACGTGTCACCACAATGGACGTTATGCCGCTGTGAGAGAATTGTAGTGAAGTGTAGAGAGAAATTGAAAATGAAATAGTAAGAATGATAAGAATGGTTTAAATGAGATAGTAACAAATAGAGAGATGACATGAATATTTCTCTGTGTGTGTATTGGTGTATATACGGATAACTATTATGTTGGCAATATTTCTCGAGTAATAACGGTAATAAATAGAAGATTCTCTGTGTGTGTGTGTGTATTTCTTTCTATTCGCTTATTTATTCTATCATTTCCGTTGAGGTAATATTTATGATTATCTTTTTGAGATTGTCTCTGTAACTGTGATTATTATTTCCATTGTATTTTAAACTGTTTTCTTTTTCTTTTTTTTTCCCCTGTACACTATAGTTTGCGAAGGGTAAATCACTCAATCAATCACACATCTGTATCTATCTATCTACATATATCTATCTATATAGGTATATATAGAGGGAGAGAGAGATAGGTGGATAGACACAGTTGAGGAGAGAAAGAACAGTAACAATACACGTGTGTAGTTTAAACACCTTATTATTACTTGTTTACATTACACTCACAGACAATCAAAAAAAAAAAGGAAAAGAGAAAGAAAGAAAGAAAGAGAAGAATAAAATAAAAACAAGAAAGAAAGAAGAAGAAAGAGGAAATCAATTAAACGAAAAGAACCCTGACCCCCACCCAACCCCTCATTAAAAAAAGGAAAAAGAAAGAAAAAGAAAGCAAAGAAAACAATACGTGAAGGGATCAATCCCCACCTTTTTATCAATCTCGCTGGAGTTTATTTTACTTTTTTCTTGTTTAGATGCCATCCAATAGTGGACTCCGCATTTACACACATCCACTCGCGGCGGATCTCGGCGACCGGCAGAGTAGTTTACTCCCCGGCCAAATCCGCACACCGCAGCACTCTATTTACTCACACATTACAGACTGGGCAGCCACCAGTAGCGTGTGGGTAGAGGATGAGGACCATCATGATAGCCATGCGAATCCACGGTATAATAATAATAATAA